AAGGGCACTTGGGGGCAAGGAGCAAAAAGGGCAGGTGCTCAAGCCCCCCCAGCTCCTCCCTCTGCACGTGCCTGCTAGAGTCAGAATGAGATTCAGCTCATCCTCTGGTCTGAGCTTCAGGTAAAGGAGTTAACATATACTGGGCTCTTGCTAATAGAGATAATGGGGACTTCAATGTGTCATAAAAAAAAAAAAAAAAAAAAGAACAGAGTTAACAAGTGAAGCTCCCAGTTCACATATCCATCCAAGTTCTGGACCTCACCTAAACTCATTAGACATGGATCATGACGAAGGAACAAGTCATGAATAAAAGAGGCTGAAATGAGCTTCTTCCATGTTCCTGAGCTTTTCTGGCCACATCCAATGAGTGAAAACCCCAGGGTGGCTGAAGGACCAATAACACCTTCTAACATCTGAGTATTCAGGTAAGGTCCACCCCCCAGGAAGAGCTGGAGGAGGTCTGTGTTTCCCTATTGAGTCCTTTATCTCCTCAGCCTGATCTTGAACAAGGACAAACCAATACATGGATTGGCTTTTGAGATTAGAGAACAATTTTCCACTTCGATGCGAACAGATTTGACTGTTAAAGCTTTTGTAACTGTATGCAAAAGCTACTTTTTAAAGTAGGGAAATAAAATGCTGGAGAAATAAGGGTTTGTCCAACAGTTGGAAAGATCTGTATCTGTGTTTCAGATTGTTTTTTGCAGTTTGAATGTCTGGTTATAGACAAAAGTGCAAGCCTGAAAATTGACTCACTAGATAAGAGATTTTGCTTAGTGTTCCTACTACAGGTTTAACAGGAAATCTAACTTTCTCAACTACAAATTGGTTTTGTTTTACATATACAGTACACATTCAGAATATAAAGCCATCAGGAAGTGTTTCTGTTAAAATTTCTGTATATAAAGCAGGAAAATACGTCACCCTTTTTAAAAGCCCAAAATACCTTAAAATAGCTTAAAGTATAAATATTTTTGTTTTGTAAAAAAAAAAAAATTAGGCTTTGTGGTTTTTTAGTGCATTTTATTCAGATTGTATGTACAGATTAATGCAAAGTGGTGTATAACTCTGAAGTAGAATGAAAAGAACTCACTTTTAAATACTAGAGTCATATTAAATAAATTAGAATATGCATTCTCGTGAGCCTTAATAGTCAGACTAATTATCTTTTGGATAAAATTAAACTTTAAGCAGGTGTTAAACATGCTTTTCATTAATCCCACATTTCTGTATACATTTTTTGTCTGATGTAATTTTCCAATCGTAAATGTTGTGTTTTCATTAAGTATAAGTGGAAAATAATAATTAGTAGAAAAAAAATAAAGGCTGGGGAAACATCAGTCTGTGTAATTATTCTCTACAATGTTTCACTTAGTAAATTGAGTCACTGAAATAAATGAACCGCTCAATAATATTTGAATTTACTGAATAAATTTAACCATATTAGAAAGAATGATCTAAATGTCATGCATTTGTATTCAGACTTTCTTTATTTTGACACACCTAATTAAAATCCAGTGCATCTAGTTGGTTGTAGAAGAAAATTACTAGTAATTATAGAATCCCATTGTGGGTAATATAATCTTAGAGTACGTACAGCTGTGATAACCCTAAGAGAGCTGTAAAGAGCTGCAGATTAAGAGAGAGGATCAGTTTATAGGAAAATTGTAGTCCCATCCACAAATCCACACTAAAAATAGTCACTGCTGACGAGTTGCAGCTTCCTGGGGACCCCGTAAATGTGTGTGTTGTCGAAAGACAAGACCAAAACTTTTTGACCGACAAGCACAATGTGAGGCAAGGAGGAAAAGCAGTCTTTCTAAATAAACCATCCCACCACTGTGAAACACAGTGGTGGAAGCACAATGCTGTGGAGATGCTTTTCTGTAGCAGAGAAAGGAGAAAATGTGCCAACTTTTATCACAGGAAACCCCAAGAAAGAGTTTGTAGTTGTAACAACATAGCAAATTATGAGTTGAAGACTTTTGCAAGACGCTGTATATTACACCTCAACAGCAAAGCCAGCAAAAGATATTGTGGAATTTGTGTTGTGAACAAGCCAAAGGCTAGCTGCAATCAATTTATTTCCTCTGTCTCCAACATATGAAAAAGTAATTAAATACTTTGTCATTTATGATGAAAACTGTATGGTATAGGATAAGCATAGATCTGGACGTGCACACAGACCTAAAATTAGCGAATTCAATGGCGTATCTTCTCTTACGTGACACTATTTTTTACAAGACGATCAAATTAATTTTGCTACTCCATGCAGTTACAGACAATATGCTGTAGGTGGCTGTAGATCACTTGGCATCATTATCTTCCAAGCACTCAAAATGAAAAGAAAAACAGATCCTTTCAGACTTTCAGAATAAAATATTTTATTTGAAGCACTTTGTTTTCACTGATAGACACTATCCAAAAGCTCATTTGATAGCCCACTTCAAATGCCACAAAACAGGAAGCTATTTTCCAGTCCATCACAGTAGATCCAATCCTGCCAATTCATACAAGGAGCTCAAACAATACAGAACTCAGCTAGGAAAATAACAAAACCACATCATTTTGTTACCTTTACAATCACAAACCAATCTATTCCAGTAATATACCAGCATTAGCTTTCATAAAAAACAAACAAACAAACAAACAAAAAACACTCAGTGTTATTGAAGCAGCAATGAAATACTGGAGACAACCTAAATTATGAAAGAAATTCAGAGAAGAACTTGTGCTAATGTGCACAGACAAAAGAGCATGACTTATCAGCATCAAAACACAAAGGTATTTTTGTATGTGTAACCAGTGAAGGCAATGGATTGACTGTTCAGTAGCCCTAGGATATTGGTGTACCTTTGAACCGAAAGGCCTGTACCAGCAATGAGAAAGCAGCCAGGAAAAGCCTCTACAGGGAAGAAAATATGGAGCCGAGTTTGTAAGACTCAGACTCTTTCAAAAAAAGGGGCTATGGCTTTTGTAAGTCACAGAAGATTCAAGATACTCTCAGTTTTTAATTCTGTTCACCCACTCGAGTTCACTATAAGCAAAAATATTGAGTTCTGACTGTAAAAATAAGTCACATCTATTTTACTGTGCTTTGACTACGAAATTATTCATTCATGGCGAGTTAAGTGTTTGCTTAAAATCTGTTTTTGAGAAATATATGACTTCCCTCAGTCACATTTCACCATCAAAGATCACTTTCAAGAGATCCACCTGTAATTTGCAACTCATTTGCATAGAGCCTGCTTTCGCATCATTCATAAAGCACACCTTCGCCATTTTAAAACAGCTTTCTGTTGAACACTGATCATTTGTCACCTTAACATATCAGATATATATTCTATATAACGGCTACTCTAAATACAAAAGTGCACCAAACAAATGTGAACATATAAGTAATAATAATAATAATAACTTTCATCATGTCATTTTGTACAGACACAAATACTGTTGCATTTATTAAACATAAAAAAAAAGAAAATTTCCTTTTAAGGCTTGACCTTGAAAATGCAATAAACCACCATGCAAATACGCACATTCCATTGCAAGCAGGCAATGAGACACCAAGATATAAAGCTGACATTGAAGAGAGTATGGAAGGTCTTCTACTTATTGCAGTTTTCACTAAACCATGATAAATGTGATATTCTGGATCTCCCTCCCATCATGAACATGTGCACTCACATATTATGTGACTTTTTCAGGCTTTTCAGGCAAACTGAGGACAAAAGGAAAAAGGACACCCTTCGCCTCCAGAGGTGCCTTCAGTGCCTCCTCGACAAAGTAGGCGTTCTCCTCCTCCACCACAAACTGCAGAGTCTGGCTTTTGTTCACACAGTAGATGCAGTTCCCTATAACGGCACACCTGAATGGTAAATGACTGCCCGGCCTTTGCGATGCACAGTCGTGCCACATTTTCACAATAGTGTTGTACTTGAAGACGTTGATCCCCTGCTCTCGGTTCACGTCGAAGCGGTAGATGAAGCTTTTTAGTGCCACCATGTCGCTAGATTTCTTCCTGCTGTTGTTGTAGGGGCACTCCTGCCACTCATCCCTCTTTGGATCATATTTGAGCAGGCGGTAGAAAAGGGAGCCGCCCGAAACGTATAGCTCTCCGCTGCAAGTGGTGGCTTCATGGGCCACTGCAAAGGCTCCCTTGGGTAGGGGAGCAATCATCGTCCAGCGGTCCATTCGAGGGTCATATTTCTCTACTGTGAACAAACATTCCCCTCCAATGGCATACAGGCTGCCATCCATAGATACAAGCTTTAGTTGTGCACGTGCCTGATTCAAGGGTCTAATCTCAGCCCAGCGATTGGTTATTGGGTTGTAGCAAAAGACCTTATCTGAAACTCTGCCCTTGTCGCCATAGCCACTTATCCCACCTGCAACAAACAGGTAATTGTGCATGGTGCAAATACCACAGCCTTTAATGTTTACGTCTTCTGGCATCACAGTCAAAGGTCGCCAGTCATTTTCAGCTTCACTAAAACAGTAAATCATATGACTCTCTTCTGAAGACCCAACAGACAAGGGGCTCTGTGGTCGGCTGCCACAGCGGCTTGGTGGTCGGCTACCAACTCGATCAAACACGTCATTTACCTCTGCAACCATTAAGGTCTTTCTCCCCTCCATTCGCTTCTTCAAGACCAGATCCCTCTCAGACCCAGTAAGGCGTCCGTAGACTGCAGGATCTTTGAGGATCTGAAGGAAGTTGTCACTCATGAATCTATACGCAGTCTCTTTCAGTTCACTAAGTCGCTGTTTCTTGGCAATGGTCAAAATCTCATAGCAATTCTCCGGTGTGATCTGCTCAGACATGGAGTCCATGGCAGCCTGAACGGCACAGGGGATCTGCAGGATTTTAGCTCCTGTGATGACGTCAACCACGTTGTCCTTACTAACACTGATCTGGGAGGTGTAAATATAGTCAATCAGTGTAGACAGAGTCTTATAACTCATGCCCTTCACTTTCAAAATGTTCCGCGACAGACGTGCTTTGAAGTAGTCACTCTTCTCCGCAAGGACGGACTTGTGAGCATTGATAGTCTGTCCACCAACTTCAATGACTAAATCAGGTTCTTTTTTAGGCTGTGTGCCGTCAGCTTCAAGACTGCCATCACTGCAGTCTTTTGGTTTTAGAACTGACCAATCGATTTTCTGTTTGGTTTGACTCCCAGGGGAATCTACGCTAAAAGACACTTTTGCTCTTGCTCCATTGCGGACTTCATTACTTGTGCTATTTTGGTGCAGGCCAGCAATGTGATTGGACTCAGCAGAGTCAGCATGAGGAGAGTTATTTGGCTTTCCCATATCTGTAGAAAGCTGATTGACTTTAGGGATGTAGGAGCTGCTTCCTTTTGCATGATCACAGTGGTTATTCTCTATTGGTCTTCCATCGAGCAGGTACTCCTGCTCAAACACCGGAGGAGCACTGAAGTCTGGGTCATCCTGCAAGAGCCCCTGGACGAAACCTGGACATACATTCCTATTTTTGTCAGCGAGTGTGACAAGATCAGGGTTCATGGTGTGGATGATGGCATCAGCCTCCACAGTGATTGCTCCTCCTTCCTGTCTGTGGCCCTCGTTCATATCACTCGGATCAGGCAGCGTCTTCAACGGCCATGGTGATGAATCAGACAAACTATTTAGTCTGTTCTTCTCTCTTACTCTAAAGAAAAAGGGAGAAAAAAAAACAATATTAAGCCAATGGAAGGTGCTGTGAAAATGTATTTTGTATCTTAGATTTCTTTTATTTTAGTTTTATTGTCACACTGACATGTTCAGATGAAATAATTTTTAAAACCGACAAAGACAACCTGAGTAAATATAAAATGTAGTTTTCAAGTCACGATTTAATTTATTCCAGGAGCAAACGGTACCCAAACTGAGCTGGTCCTCTTTGGTAACGAATGCGTTTCATAGTTCCATTAGATACAGAAAATTGTCCATGTCCTAAAATGGAAAAGAAGCCATAAAACTTAACTCTCCATCTACCATGTTCGATTATAGGCATGATGCTATTTTTCTGAAATGCTGTGTTATATTTGCAATGGGATTCACAACTTCCTATTGTAATGTCTTGGGGAACACATGATGTTTTTTGACCAGCAAGATATGGGCCTTTTGTGTCAGCTGTAGGTTTCACCTAGGAAGTCTGAAATAGATGCCATTGTTGCCTAGTATTTTTCTTATTGTTAAATCAAGAACATTCAGCTTAAGTGAGACAAGTGAGATCAGCAGTGCTTCAGATGATGCTCTGGGTTTATTCACCAAATGGATAGCTTATTGATAAATTGAGAAGGAAGTTTGGTAGACTGGCAACTTCTGGGAAAATTAATCTCCATCATATTTTCTCCATTTGTGAATAATGGCTTCCTGGGGCTCCAAAGCCATAGAAATGGATTTGTGATGCTTTCCAGACTCATAGCTGTCAAAGACTTTGTTTTTCGTTTGTTCTTGAACTTCACTGACTGTGAGCACAACGTGTTGCTTTTTGAGATCAATTTATGCTGTCAGACTGGCTTAATCTCAACAAAGTCTTGATTCTACACGTGTTAGAACAATCCGGGTTTATTATTGCGCAAATATCGGGCCAAATTGATTTGGATGACTCCCTACTTTAAAATTTGACTTAAACGTCCTTTCTTCAAGAAGTGACTAAAGTAACGTTGAGTGATATTACAACTTGTTTAATAATTTGAAACATTTAAGTGTTAAGACGTAAGAGGGGGAATGCTTTCTTTCCCCCCCCCACAGCGCTGCAAAGGCGTCTTCATTCTCTAAGAGGCGCCCTTTATCTATAAAATAACCCCATAAATCTGAAATCTAGATTATTTTACATCAGAAATGAACTGTTACATAGCCCAACACTGAAATGCAATCGCAAACCAGACATGCGACAGTAACGATGATGAAGTGAAGCAGTTCCAAAACACGCCCAGAACATGCTGCCATAATTACTCTGTCCCTTATAATATATGTGGTAATCTGGAGACAATTAGAACGCATGCGCAAATTCAGTTGACTCGGTCGTAGTATAAACCTAAATAAATATAGACGGGATACAGTATTATTATTATTATTTTTTACAAAAGGTTCTAATGTATTCTACTGTTAAGGCGCTGATAATACTAAGACAATGTAGATTTCATACATATGCGAGAGGAAAAATAATGGATTACTGATCACGATGAATCAAGAGTATGGGTGTAAAGTCATTAAAAATGAACTGACCTACCTATGATCCGTCGCTTTGAAACAGGTCGGCGCCAGCAGCAGTAGCCTCTCCACAAAGCTGAGTTACGTAAGGCGGCACGGATGAAGCAGCCACTCGGTGCTCCTCTGAATGAGTTTACTTTCACAGTCGGGTTATCCCTTCCGTTCAGGATTCATCTAGATCTCCCCGTCTACTCATAGAACTGGTGCATTTCCCCAGATCCCAGACTCAGCCGGGGCTCCGTAGTAAAGGAAAAAAAAAAAAAAAAAAAATCAGGCGAAGCGATTAAAGACCAGCTCCAGGTCGCACCTCCTCCTCATCAACATCGCCGTGTCATTTCTTCCACGAGCTTGGAGCCGCTGCGCACATCAAGCGTCCTGATTTTTTCTTCCCCCCCACCCCCTCGTCTCCTCCTGAAAACGATAGTTTTCTCACACACGCCTTCAGGTTGGACAGTGGGTTTTGTTTTCTTTTTCAAAGAGTTGACAGGAATGAGGTGGCGATTATTGATCTTAACTCCGCCCTCTTCAGACGGTATTAACCCCACAGTCAACAGGGCGAAGCTCTCCTTCTGCGGTGCGCACTGTGGAGGCGTCCAAGAGATGCGACATTCCATTACGCATCTAATCTGTCATGGACACCATAGTAACTGAGGGAAATTATGGGTTACTGTTGTATCTACTTTTTTTTTTTTTTAAGAATATTAAACCCAATTTATTTCAACTCAAAAAGTGAGACTTATTTTATAAGTTTGTTACACATTAATACATTTGAAGTGTTAAGTTGGTTAATTGAAATTAAGATTGTTTGTAGAAAATGAAGAATTAGTTTAATAGATTTATTTTTTTTGCAGACATATCATGGTCTACACAAAGCCATGCCAGTGATTAATGACTTTATACAGATTACGAGCAGAGTGTGACTAAGCAGGGTAAGGAAAGATACCTCATTGCTAAAGAACTTGGCCATTCACAGAGCCCCTATTCAAGAATACTCATGGAAAGTTGAGTGGAAGGACTAATGCACAGGCAACAGGGAGTGGAGAGGCACAGAGTCTGAGTTGCAGTGTTAAGTTTCCAAGGTTGGACATTTATGGGAGAAGGCATCATGTCCTCTGCTGGTGTTGTGTTTTATTAAGTTCAAAGTTAGAAGTCTGAGCCTATTGTCAAGAGGATGTTGAGTGATAGCAGCGCTGGTAATGCAGTTGAGTTGCAGCCAGCTATTAAAGCAACCTGGGTTTCTTTCACACCTCAGCAGAGCTACATGTTGCATCAATCCACTAATGCAAAAAAGCCCTGAATTAGTATTACTGTAAGTGAATACACTCTATACAGTTCATAGACATATTTCCAGTTGGGTGGCACTTATGGACTAAAAATCCTCTCATTTTGATAATTTAATATTCTAAATTTTCAAGAAACTGAACTTTGGAAATTATCATGAAGCTTCCAGCTCCAGGCAACACAAACCCTACTTCTATTAACAGTTACAATATTAATAGTTTTGTGGAAAAATATTTGCTTCAGCACAAATTCTTGAGGATTAACATCTCAAGACAGCAGGAGCTTCAAAAATAAAGGCATCCAGAGTCCATAATAAGACACAATCCATGAAAACGCCTAACAACTGGCCTTCAGATATAAAAATAGAGGAGCCCCCGAGAAAGCATCACACAACTATTAAGCCTGCGAGATAAGAGGGCATGAAGAAAATGAGCCTTAATGTCAGAAGCTGAGAACAAAGGCTTGCTGAGCGCTGATACGGGCACACAGACTTTCGTCATGGAAACCTCAGTGTTGGAAGGAAAACCAAAAAAGCCTTCCAGTCTCTGAAACGCCGGGCAAACTAATAACCGGGTTAGTCTTTTGGTTCACTGAGAATGAATTAGCTCAGTGTTTTCTTACGTTCACGTCCAACCTACAAAACTATGACATGCCCCGGCAGTTTGTGTTGGTTTGGGCTGCAGTGTGGGACCGATTCCAGCTTGAAATTGTATTTTTGGTCAAAGCAGATAATTTAAGGAAACATGGCTGTTGTGCAACCTTGGATGTGGGCGTTGAGAGAAAGGAAGCCTTGACCTGCTTCTGTTGCGGAGCAGGAGAAATCCCGGAAGAGCCGTATCAGGCCCAGTTCCTGCGGCCCCCTCAGGCACATTGCTAGTCTTGGCATGTACTGATTGCTGCACACAAGCACGGTACAAGTACAAGGCTGGAGTGAGTGAAGAAGAAAAGCAATACTGACCCTCTGTGTAGGTCTTTGTTTATCTGAATTCAACCAGCTTGCCAACTCTCCTCACGTTTTAACACAGGAATGAATGTAAACAAAATGTATTATCACAAAGCGTAATGGGGGAATATTCTCAAAGCTGTTGTTTAAAGACGACTTTACACAAGTACCAAAGTCTACTTAATAAAACACTGTTTATAGAATTGTTAATATACATAGGTACATATACAAGTGTTTTCAAAGTATAAATCATTTTTTTAAATATATGGGAAACAAACATGCATTAAGGCAGAAAAAAAAAAAAAAAGAGAAACCTTCTTGGTGATAACATCTCCTCTGTGAACAGAATCCTGGCCCGCCAGGGATGCTCAGATGCCTTCTTATAAAAAAATCATCCATCAGAACTTTGCTTATTTGTATAAATCCCTTTACAGAGAAGTCAAAGTTCTCTCAGCTCATACACCTAATCCTGATTCATTACACTTCAGATTTACAACTCTGATCCTGATGGGTGATCTAATCCGTGCTGAGGCCGTTTCAAAGCTCCATTCTTACCTTGCACGCCCTCCAAGCCCCAGTCATTACTTAACCCTTGCCTTTCAACACTGATTTAAATACTGCAGTCCAGCACGCACACCCGAGAAAATTAACATGATTTAGCCACATCACAGATAAACAATAAACACCATATAAAATTAGAGCCTTTTCAGTTTTTTTCCCCAAGATAATTTCCGTTTTTTTTTTTTTTTTTTACAGTGCAGTGCCTTGCAGAAGTATTGTACTTTTTCCACATTTTGTCTCATTACAGCCACTAACTTCATCGTCTTTTACTCAAACTGTTCAGTCCATCATTCAAAGACGGAAATGAGTGTGGCAAAGCAGCAAATTTAGCAGGAAGCCGCCTTCAACGAAAATCGCCTCTGGAGGAGGTGCAGCGATCCACAACTCAGTTAAATAATCTATTGATAGAAATGTTAGTAGCGAACTTCACAAATTTATCCTTTCTGGAAAAGCGACAAGACGCTAGGAAACCATCGTTGCAGGAAAATCATAAAAAGTATCCTCTGCAGTTTGCAACAATCCGTAAGGCAAGCAATAAAACCTAACCTTCTGTCCCACAAAAGAATATGTGGAGACAAAAACTGACTCTGTGCATCAGACTAAATACAAAGAGAGCAAAATACTTAAGAGTGGCACAGAGGTTCACCTTCCAGCAGGACAATGAACCTAAACATGCAGTCAGAGCTATGATGAAATGTCTCAGATTGATTAGGACATAGAATGACATAATCAAAGGCAGGACTAAAACAATTTCCCAATCTGTGTCAAGACTTGGAAATTGATAGTCGCATATCTGTTCCTTTCAATCAGACAGAGCCTGAACTTCTTTGCAAATAAAAACTGATAAGTTTCAGACTCTAATGGTTAAAAACTGGCAGATGCGAACCACAAAAGACTTGCAGCTGTAACTGAAGTGAATGTCATTAATGAAAGATGTTGGAACCCTGTACTTTGTGTTGGGTCTATCGCCAAATAGTCCAATTAAATACATTGAAGTGTGTGGTTGTTAAGTGGCAACATGTGAAAAAAGTTTCACGGGTATACATACTGTTGCAAGGCACAGTAGGTTTTTTGACCCATTTGTAGGAGTTGTTTGCATAAACATTAAACGTGATTAAGTGATTTGACTAATAACCCATTTACAAGGCTGGAATATCTTGGTAATATAGCAGAAGGCAAACATTTTGGTATAAAACTGGCCATTTAGTTGCTGTGATTGATCCAAAATACTTGGTGAAATGTTAGCAGACCGCCATTGGAGGACCGTATGCAGATCATTTGGTTCAACATGAAAAAAGCAAAAACATGAAAAGAAAATACGAGAAAGATTTTGTGAACTTTTCAGGTATTTAGACTAACACCTTTGGAGTTTTGGTGTCACATGTTCAGTAATGGGATTTGCCAGATCATGATGGTGGAGGTGTTGTCCTCATGGCGAGACTGTTTGGTCTTTTTGTTGACTCTGCGGTGGCCCAGGCCTCCAGACACAACTAGCAGAGAGCTGACATCCATCTTGCTGGAGCGGCGCCCCCTCTGGTGATGGGCAGGGTCGTGAAGCAAGTCGTACAACGCCCCGTCCTCTGGGCCATGCTCCAGGGAAGCTTGGGAGGGAGCTAAGGAACCACAGGAAGAAGAGGACAGAGAGTCCTGAAGAGCCATGGTGGTGCAGCCTGCCTCTCCCAGCCACACACCCCGTCCCTGAGGAGGACTGGAGGCTGTGTCTGACACGGGCTGGGCGCTGTCTGCGTCCACAGACTCTATCTGTTGGAGTGAGGAGGAAGGAGTGGAAGATGGCAGGCTAGACGACCAGTTGCGCACCGCCGTAGCCATGGTGAGGAACTTGACGGGCCCATTGTGTGCATGTAATGACACCATTCCTCGTCCTAAAGAATAAAAGTAAAAAAAAACAAAAAAACATTGTGGTCTACTAACAGGCTTTGTGTTCAAGTATTTACATATATGAAACATAATATATAGCGTGCAAACAACAGTTTATGAGAAAAAAAAGCCTACCAAAACAAATCGTACTGGTTTAAACTTCACCAGTATCCTTGTTGTACTCTACTACAATGCTGTTGAGCAGGAAAGAATACCAAGAGACAATGCAGGGTGAACCGTGTGCCACAATTTTCAGTGCCAGCTCCAGGTCATTTGTGGCAACCCTCCCCCATTTGAGGATTCAAGAGATTACAGCTACAAAGCTGATTTTCTACTATGGGGGGAATTTCAGTGTGAATGTCAAAAAGTTGCGCAGCCATGATGCTGTTGCTGAAAACTGTGATTCTGTGTATTATTTTTAACCCAGATTTTTCTGCCTTTATTGTTTCTTTACCACATCCCATCACCCTGTGAGATCTATTTGGCCAGATAGGTTGAGTCTGCCAATAATTTTTCCAAAGTAGTCTTTTGTGATTGTGTTATTACACACCAATATTGCAATAATGATCCGCTATGCTGTGCAACTATATTGCAAACAAACCTGGTGAATAATGTAGAAAATGGCGAGCAGGACTGAACTTAACTGTCCCACTTGCTCTGGGTAGAGTTTTTAAAGTGTAGCATCGGTACTTAAAAGTATCTCAAGAGTGTATAAGTTTTTGCAACCTACATGTACTTTTTCAATCCACCAGTTTTATTGTTTCAAAAGCTAAACAACAATACAGAGGAAGATGAAAAAGTCGTTCTTTAAATATGCCTAGAACATCTTCTAAGCTGGATCTAATCAAACTGCAGACATAAAGTGCAGCT